AGGACGTAAAAAAAAAAAAACATGTTATGAGTGAACACACTGGCAAGGATGCTGGTTGAAATTGAAGGCGAGCATCTGATGAGGAGCGCGGATGGATTGCGAGCATGGGAATAGGAGGACGTGCGGAAAATATGAAGTGGTGAAAAATGGAATGGGGCATTTATTGGCCGAAGAGTGAATCAAATGACGAGTGTGAACGAACTCCATCAGAACGATGAATGATGAATGGCACCTCAAGGACACCGTATCACACATCACACGCAACCGATCCAATCGGGAAAACTGAGTTCAGGAACCGGTGACCAGCACGAATTAAACGCCTGGCATCGAGAATCATGCGTTGGTGCTGCATTATACGCACGTAGAAAAAAAAACTTTGATTTAGTATTGAGGCCCAACTTCGGTTTACATGGTACAGGCACATATTGAGTTTTTGATTTGGAATCGAAACTACCTTCGAATATTGTTTATCAGAAGTTCAGAAGATGTAAAGCAAAGAATAAAGAAAAATCCGCAAGCTATAGCGTGTTTGAACAATTTTTGCTGCATAAATTAACTAATTGCACGTAGTTGTCCATTACACAAGATCAGAAATTAAGTACCAAAATCTGTTTTGTCTTTTAAAAAGACCAACTCATGTCGGTGCTAAACGCACCACGTGAACTGCAAAATATGCAACATAAGAAACTACAATTGTTAGTAAAATGTGTGTAAGAGCTATCTTGCTTTTAAAAAATGACGAAAAGCTTTAGTGGCGTAACGGACTTCCGCTGGGCCCCCCCGCAAAATTTTTTCTAGGGGCCCCCCCATGTCGAAAAAATTCCAAAATTATCCCCCCCTTCTCCGTCCCTCACCCCTTCTCGTTTTTTCTCTTATGGTCTAGGCCCGCAGCACGAAAATTCTTGAGAAAATCAGCCTTAACCACCAAAAAATCAAAATGGCAGTAGCTTATATCTGTTTACCTCTAGGTACGGTGTGTGCAGGATTTAGCCTACTTTTACGTTATGTTCTGAGATGGAATTTGATTCACTTACATGTTTGCGCAAATAAATAAATTT